TAAATTGAGGAGTCAATTTCTTCGACTTCAAAGCACGGCCTACACCGGTTACTGGAGACACTCTCAAGAATACACAGTCTCCCTCTTGAAACTCAAGGTCTTTCCTCCTCTTATTATGGTAACTCTTTTGTCTACTCTATAAAGTCTTCATATTTTCTCAAATTAACTTCACTTTCTCCGTAATTTCTCGCACAATTCCAGGCCCAAACACTACACTCTCACCAGATTCATACCAACATAAAGGCGTTCTGCACCTCCGACCATACAATGCCTTGAAAGATGCCATATTGATACTAGAATGGAAACTATTATTATAAGTGAACTCAATCAGTGGAAGACAACTATCCCATATAACTCCTTGCTCAAGAACACAATCTCTTAACAAATCCTCTAACAAACGAATAGTTCTCTCTATCTGACCATCTGTCTGTACGTGGAACTCAATCTCAACTTAGATCCTAACGCATCTTGAAAACTCTTCCAAAAATCAGAATTAAACATCGAACCCCTATCAGATACTACACTTTACGAAACACTGTGTAGCTTTACAATTAACCGGAGATAAGTATCTGCCAACTTCTGCACAGGAAAACTGATATTAATCAAAATGAAATGAACTGATTTTGTTCGTCTATCAACAATACCCAAATCGCATCATACACTTTCGGAGTATTAAGCATCCCTGTCACAAAGTCCATCGATATGCTATCTCACTTCCATTCCGGAACATCTAGCAGTTCTAACAATCTCGCAGGTTTCTGATGCTCGAACTTTGACTTCTAGAAAATCAAACACGCGTACACAAACCGTGCCACATCCCATTTCAATCCGGACCACCAAAATAACTTCTTCAAATCGTGATACATCTTAGTAGCTCCCGTATGAATACTCAAACTACTCCTATGACTTTCTTCCAGAATTATCTTTCTTATTTTTGCATCATCAGGAATACAAATTTTGTCGCAGAATCTCAACACACCTTGGGCATCTACTTTAAAATCACTATCCTCCGACTGGTCACTCACAACCATCAAGTCTACCAACTTCACATCTAGCTTCTGAGCTTCTTTAATATTATCCAAAAAATCGTTGTTAATCCTCAATATTCCCATCACATTCTGCGGTGTCACTTCATAGACTAAACTCATATCTATGAATTTCTCAATCAACTCCAACTCTCTAACCATCATAGCAGACATATGTAAAGTCTTTCGACTCAAAGCATCGACCACAACATTAGCTTTACCTGAATAATAGTTCAAGTCAAAGTCGTAATCTTTCAATAATTCTAACCACGTTCATTGCCTCATATTCAATTCCTTTTGATCAAACAAATACTTTAAGCTCTTATGATCAGTAAATACTTTAAATTTGGAGCCATAAAGATAGTGTCTCTAAATCTTTAGTACAAACACCACCGCAGCTAACTCTAAATCATGCATAGGATAATTTCTTCATCAATTCTCAATTGTCTCGACGCATACGCTACTACCTTGTCATTCTGTATGAGCACTCCACCTAAACCCAATTTAGAAGCATCACAATATACCATAAATGATTCTTTAGGATTAGGTAATATCAAAATCAGAGTTGTCGTCAATCTCTTCTTCAGCTCAATAAAACTTTCTTCGCATTGGATGTCCCATACGAATGCTCTGCCTTTACAAGTAAACTGAGTTAGCAAAAGTGCTAACTTAGAAAAACCTTCAATAAACCTCCTATAATAGATGTTCAATCCCAAAAAGCTTCTAATCTCTGTAAATAATTTTATATTTTCCCACTGCAATATTGTATCTACCTTGGATGGGTCTACAGCAATTCCACCACTTGAAATAACATGACCAAGAAAACTAACTTTCTCTACCCAAAACCCGCACTTGGACAACTTAGCATATAGCTTCTTCTCCTTTAAAACTTGCAATACAATTCGCAAATGCTCAGCATGTTCCTCTTCTAATTTAGAATATATTAAGATATCATCGATGAACACTATCATAAACCGATCCAAATAAGTATGAAAGATGCGGTTCATATACTCCATAAACACACTCAGCGTGTTAGTAACACCAAAAAGCATCACTGAATATTCATAGTGTCCATACTGATTCCTGAAAGGTTTCTTCTGAATATCGTCTTTCTTGACTTGAATTTGGTGATAACTCGACCTCAAGTCAATCTTGCTAAACACGTGTGCATCTACCAATTGATCCATCAAATCATCTATCCTCAAAAGTGAATACTTGTTTTTGATCGTCACTTTATTCAATTGTTGGTAATCTACATAGAGTCTCATACTACCATCCTTCTTTTTCACAAGTAACACCGAAGCTCCACAAGACGATACACTTGATCTAACAAATTTCTTCTCAGGTAAATCTTCCATTTGTTTCTTCAATTCCGCCAATTCAAATGCTGACATTCGATAGGGTGCCATAGTGACAGATTTGATACCTGGAATAAGATCAATAGAGAATTCGACTTCTCTCTCTGGCGGCACATCTGTAATATCATCTGAGAAAACTTCAGAAAATTCATGCACCACCTGCAACTCATCAATAGCAGCCTGATTCTCAACAGACAAAGACGCCATTAATGAAAACAATTGAGCTTTATCTTGCATCAATTCATTCAAATGTCTAACAGATAAGAATTCAGCTTCCCCTTCCTCATCATGAGTGGAAAATCGTACAGATTTGTTGTAACAGTTAATATGAACGTAATTATATTCCAACCAGTTCATACCCAAAATTACATCCAGACCAGTCAACGGTAAACAAACTAGATCAATAGCAAACTCTACCGATCCCTTAGTTGTAGTATCGATAACCATTTTCTCATCTATAGAAGATAACACAAGGCCCAATCTTTGAGCATAATCAGCAGTAATAAAATAATGTGTAGCATCAGTATCAATAATAGTAATTAAAGGAGTATTATTAATGAAGCAAGTACCTCTGATTATACGGTCTCCACTGGATGTTTGTGTTTCAGCTAAAGCAATTACTTTCCCACCAGTTTGAGCTTTCTTTGATTTCTAACTTTGAGTACTGATATGTTCTTCTTCGCCACAGTTGAAACATATTACTGCCTTGTGTCTGCAATCAGCTACGTCATTCTCAGTCTTACTGCAATGAAAACACCTCTTCACTTCCCCCGTACATGCATTACTTTGATGACCTGGCTTCCCACATCCGTAACACACAACGTCAGCAGGAGCACCTCCTCCACTGGTCCTTCTACCATCATCAACTCTCTATTTGTCCTTGTCATTTGGAGTATTGTAAGGATACCCACGATTATGTTGTTGTATGACCCTTTTATCATTTATGGCCTTGTAATGCACAAAGGAATGGCGAAAACGAATAGATACAAGTCACAATGGGAAGGAAAAACACAGGAAGAAGAAAACAACAATGAGACGCTAGTAAGGGAAGAGACAAAGAGAAGGAGAGTTTCAACACAACAACTACGTTTTTCTTTACAGAGACACCGGACGACTTCGGGGCGAAGGAGATGTATGCCATTTTCAAGGAGTGCGGTGAGATTGATGAAGTTATGACAAAAGAGGAAAAAGATTTAGTTTGTAATATTTTTTAATATCAGGGACAAGAAGATAATGGCTATCAAGTTGGAAAATATCATTATTGTATTAAAGAAGATTTTTGCAAATATTCTGAGATTCAATCGTGATACAGTAGGGGTACCAACAAAAGAAAACAAAGTGCAAGGTATTAACACAACAACTAGGATTTGCTGGGAGAGGGGAAAAATGTCGGGGTTTGAAGGAAGAAGTAACAGGATATATGCTCAGATGGTAACGAATAAGATCAATAACAACGATGGAGAAGCAAACAAGGTTAAAACTAATAAGATCTCTTTTTCACACTTGGAATACAAATTGGAGGAAGAGGATTTGAAACGCTTTGAGAAGGCGTATGTGGGGGTGGTAGAGAACCCAGGATCAACTTATAACATGCAGGAATACTTCGACATGGAAGGTTACTTTAGTGTGAAGGTTACCCCACTTGGGCGAATTTATGTTTACTGGAGGAAAGTGAAGAAGAAGAAGAACTGAAAGCTTTGATCAAGGAGGCAGCTGATTGGATCAAATAGTGGTTCAACGAGATCAAACTATGGCGCCCTTCAGATGTTGATAATGAGAGGTTAACATGGTTAAGAGTTTTTAGATTGCCTTGCCATGCATGGAATCCAAAGGTCTTCTAGTTCATGTCTAAACGAATAGGTACGTATGTATGCGCTGACGATCAAACTACCAAGCAGTCAAACATGGATGTGGCAAGAATTCTTGTGAAGACTAAATGTTGTATGGTTTTAAACGAAACATACAATATTTCGATAAATGGTGATATATTTGACATCAAGGTGGTGGAGGATTCACACGGGCCTATGCGCATAACAACAAAACGATAATGGGTCGTCAGATGAAAGTGAGTCATGGGGAAGCTCAGATGAGAAAGAAAATAGGGGGTGGAATCATAGAGTGTTTGAGGAATAAGATGATGGCTCTTTTGTCCAACAGACAAAAATCGATGATGGCGACAAGAAGGTTGGAAAACGTGTTATGATGGATGAAACATTAAATGCCTTAAAACAGGTGTAGGCGGCGACAAAAGAGTTTGAAGGGATGTTTCAGAAAGCTTTAAGAAAAAAAAAGCGTTCCATCGAGTACAACAAAAATGAACTTTGAAGGCAACAAGTACAGGAGAGACCCACTTATTTTTAAACAAAGAGGTTAATGAGATTGGGACAAAAGATAATTCTGATGTAGGAGTGGGTTGGTGGGCCAAGAAAAAGATAAGTCCTAATTCTTAAGAAGGAAGAAAGCATGTAGCCTTGAGGGTGATAGAGATGATAGCAAATCAAGGTTTCGGTGGTGGAAGGGCGATGTTCGCAATCAGAACACCAAGGATTTTATCTTTGACGGTCAAAAAGATAACTGAGATGATCAGTCTTTTGAGATCTCGAAACCATATTTTGCGATGCTAGCTCGGTCGAAGTCTAATGTTGTAGGGGGAGATGAGGGAGAAACATCAATCAATGGCAAGACAGTGGCAGTGGAGGTGCAGTCAAGGCAATCTTCGAAAGGGTCAACATTGTGTAGTAAGTCTGCGATGGATTGTAACGATATAGGTGGTGGATCTCAGGAAGTGGAGAAGGCAGCGAAGGACATTGCAGAAAAGGTGTGTAATGATTTTCTCAATTAGGGATTTCAGGAGGCAACAAAATTGAAGCAATAAGGAATGAAATCGGAGAAATGGAGAAGAGTTACGTGGAAGGCTTGAAGGCAAGGAAGCCGAAAAAATCAGCTTTGAAATGAATTTACTATCCTTCAATATTAGGGGGTGCGGTATTTCGATGAAGAGAAGAAGATTGAATCAAATAATAGCAAATGGTCAAGTAGATATGGCTTTTCTACAGGAAACCAAGATGCAACATATGGAAGATAAATTTGTAAGGAGCTTATGGGGAAATGATGATGTTGAATGGTCGGCTAAAAACTCTGAAGGAGCATCCAAAGGTATCTTAAAAATGTGGAAGAAAGGTTCAATTGCACCTCTGTACATTTTCCAAACTGAAGGCTCTTTAGTTTTATACGCTAATGTGAAAGGACAGACATGCTACTTCATAAATGTTTATTCTTCATGTTCTTTAGAGAAGAAAAAAGTCTTGTGGGTGGAGTTAGAAAATCCGAAGGATCGGTATAGAGAAGGTTGGTGGTGTATATGAGGTTATTTCAACACTATAAGGGACAAAGTTGAAAGAGTGGGGAGGAATTCTTATTACAGGGATACTGATATGAATGAATTTAATAAGTTTATCGATTATATGGAGTTGGTGGATCTTCCCTCCAAATGGAGCCAGATTTTCTTTGCCAAACAAGGACGTAGTGCAAAAAGCATGTCAAATAGGTTCTCATTATCTGATAATTTGATTGATAGTTGAAAGATTGTGGGACACATGATCAAGGAAAAGGATATTTCTGACCATGCCCTAGTTTGGATCAAAGTTGTGAACGTAAATTGAGGACCAAAGCCTTTTTGGGTGAACAACTACTGGTTTGAGCATAAAGAGTTCAGAGGGGTTGTGGAGGATTTTTGGAGATCAACTGTCTTGGAAGAAAAACAAGCTTATGTTCTAAAAGAAAAGTTCAAACTACTGCATAATAAACTAAGAGGGTGAATGAATTTGATAACATTACTGATACGTCTGTGTGATACGGTGGGAGAGAACTGACTGTTTTTTGGAATGCTGGTTTTCATTTTGCGTTTGTATTTGCAAAATGTCGCGGTAAGCAAGAGTCGCCACCGTCTTTTATTTTATCCAACAAGGAAAGGAAAAAAGCACAGAAAAATTCCTTTTTCGAGATATTTCTCGGGTTCGAGGGGTAGATTATAGAAAGGGAAGGTGTTAGCACCCTTTCTATCCGTGGTTATCCACGGGCTCTTAGGTACTTGCTCAAAGTGTTTTCAAAATTTTGTTTTTCTGTGTGTTTGTGGGTTTGAAAGAAGTTTTTGTTTGAAAGGAGTGTAGGTGTGAAAGTTTTGTTTTGTTTGAGAGAGCAAGTACTTAAGAACCATCTACCTACTCGAAAAAGGAATCAATATGTACTAATATCCTTTAGACAATGTTATCCCACTATTGATGAGTAGGTAGCATCGTCGTTGGAGTTTAAGGGTCAATTCGATTAAGGGACGTGTGGTCACTAAAGCAATGTTAGGACGCTTTAGCAGTAACCCTAATGTCTTAGATCATTTTTCCGAGGCAACCGTTTCGAGGCAACTATGATCTTTGGACAAGAGGGCGACCTCTAAAACTTCCTATACTCAATGACCACGTTCGAAGGCAACCAAGTGAGGTGTACCCTAAGAGTGCGCATGTGCGAGTGTGTTGTTTCGGTTAATTTTATCTTTGTACATGTCAATGGTTATCTATGTTGATTTTAAGTTCATACATTCGATCTTGTCATGCATTCCCTATTATCAAACATCTAACAATTTATAAGTTGCGGAAATTAAATTGCGGAAATTAAATCTAACTATTACAAGGCGTCGGTTATTTACATCGCCAAAAACAACCCTTGAAATTAAAATGCGGAAAGTAAATAAAGCGGTAAAATAATTTAAAGTCCTATTAAACTATTACATTCCAGGAAACAATTATATCAATATGGTAAAATAGATCGCGTGCGGGAAAATTGAATCGGGCACATTCTAGGGTTTTGACCCTTTAATTATTAAAGAAAGAATTTTTGTTATTTTTTTGAATTAAAAGGAAATAATACTAAGTTATTTAAATTAATTAATTAATTAATTAAATAAAGATATTTTTGGATTTTTGAGTATTTAAAGAAATAAAATAAATTTGATTAAAAGTTAGTAAAACCTAATTATCTACATTAATTTTAAATACTGCAAAAAAAATTAAAAGTTAAACCTAATTAAACTAAATTAATTGAATTAATTTATTTACAAAAATAAATGCTGAATTTAATTTTAATAAATAATTTTTTTTTTGTTTTTGATTTTATTAAGAAAAAGATTAATTGGTTAGTTTAAATAATAATAATAATAATTAAACAAAACAAATAAATAAAATGAAATAAAAAATAAATAGAAATAACCCAAATGGGGGTTTGGGCCCAGATCAGGGGTGGAATAGCAATTTTCCAGGCCCATTACGTTGCAAGCCTGGTTGACTTTCTGATTTTTCATGCGCTGGTTGACTAGAGCACATGGTGGACCTTCACTCCTGACCACCAGATCTGGCCTAGGGCCATCTGGCAACTGTTTGCATGAGGGTATATGGTACATCACGCGTTGGGCAAGGCACTAGATAACCTGAAAGAAAATAGCAACAAAGATATTGGGGACCTGGGATTCGAACCCAGGTCCTGTTGGATCTCACGCTAATGCCTTCGCCACTGAGCCAATGTGTTTAATTGTTAATGTATTAGGTAGAAATTATTATATGGAAAAACAATTATTATGCCAGAATAAAAAAACAAAACGCGCGCAATTTGAAACGTCCAATGGGGGAAAGGCACGTATTCGTCTTCTTCGTTTGGCCTGGATATTTACCTGCGGATTCTTATCCGCAGCTAAATCCGTATGTCCCTCCTAAAATCTTCTCTAGGCCATGGAAATTAATTCCAAACACATGGTTGTGTTCGTCTCCTTCCACTGATCATGTTTATGCCCATTGATTGCATCAATTTTGCCTGAAAATAAAAAACCCAAAAACACAAGCTACGAAACCCTAGGTTCGGGTATGGCATTACAGGTCATATAAACACAATTAAATAATGCAAAAGGCTTCTAAATGGAACGATAAGCATGATTGTGTAAAGATTTTTCCAAAAAATGCAAGAATAATGATATGCGATTTCAAATGCCAAGCGGTTTTCAGAGGGACTTACAGCGCGTTTTAGGAGGTGAATGGCTTTGCTTTTAATTGCTACAGACTCAGTGGATGTCCAGCAAGAGAATAGTGTTGAGATTTTGTGTTGAAAGCACCTCTAAAACATATTTCAGTTTCAAGATTTTTTGCAATTTTCTCAAGTTTTGTTCTTCTGATTTTGCAGCCTCTAGGTTCTGATTCGTGTGCCTCTAGCTTGTATAAGTAATGAGCATTGGATTAGGTCAAATATTTGGACTTGAATCTTCGTGTATTGATGTTTGGAGATTTGATTTGATCCTCCATGAAAAAGCTTCCAAATTTGTCCAAAACCCAATATTTTGTGCATGATATGGCTTGATACGAGTTTGACCATGTCCATAATGATAATTAAGACTTGTATCAATCAAAAAGATACTAAATGATCAATATTTAGATTTTATTTGGATTTAAATTGATTTCAAATGAATTAATTCAATAAAAATCAAATAAAATAGAAAAATTATTAAATGGAGACAAGGCTGAAGATAGGACACGTGTGTAGTGTGACAAGATCAAATCAAGTGGAAAAAAGTGGGCCCATTTGGAAAAATTTGATGTTTTGAGGATAGTTGACTTTTGGTAATTTTGGAAAAATGCCCAACTTCAACAATGCATAACTTCTTCAATTTTGAAATTTTGGATGCGTTCTTGGACTTTTTAGAAACCTTGAGATGTCCTCTATCAAACCCTTTTGGTATCATCTCATTTTTATATTCCATTATCAAGTTATAAGCTTTGGAAAAAAGGTGTTTTTGTTGACTTTCAAAAATGACCTATAATGTCCAAATTTGTAACTTATTGTGAGTGAATTTCTTGATCTTGGGGTGTGAAGATGGATTGTAGGAAATTGCATCCTCTGCAAAATGAGCTTTGGATGGGTCATTTATCATAAAGTATGAGAAAGTTATGCTTGGTCAAAGTTGAGTTGACTTTTCCTACAAAACCCTAATTTAGCAACTTTTGAATCTTGATGAATCTTGAGAAATCCTTGATGAATCATGATCAACCATTGATCAAATGATGAAATATCCTTCAAAATGAGAATGTTGACAAAAAATCTTGAGGTTTGACTGTTTATAGGTCACTGTTGACTTTTGCCCTAGCACAGTCGATTTTTGGACCTCTTGAGCAATTGACTGACCAAACCTCCTCTGCAAGGCCTGAAATTTGACATGGATTAACTTGAGAACATATTAGGACATTGGGGAGAACTTGAGGTAATTTGGATGCAAGGACCTTGATGCAACACAAAACCCTAATTTGAGATTGACTGCCTTATGAGATGATTTGACTGTCCAACTCTTGAGCAATCTTGAGCAACTTGGAGATTAATCTTGCAATGTCTTGAGAAATATGAGAGGGAAAATTTTGGGGTACAACAGTTGAACCTGTTCAATTTTCTTAAACCTGAGGATATAGATTGGCTTTCGGGCCTTTCGTGATCCGAGGGTGAAAGATGATTGAACACTAGAGTGCCCAGAAATTTGCACTCGCATGAAGTGGTATCAGCATTGTGATGTCGGGAATGGGCTTACAGATGCCATTTGGAGACTGTTGATGGATGGTCTGAACTTCAACTGGAATATGAATCAGGGAGATCTTATCGGTGATCTGACTGAACCAGAGGAGGTCTTGGATTAAGTTTGATTGGATCGGCATCAGAAAAATCTTTAGGAATCAATTTAACTGGATCAGAGAAGGCTTTTGACTGGATCGGCATCAGAAAAATCTTTAGAAATCGATTTAACTGGACCAGGAAAGGTCTTGGAATCTTCAATTGGATCGGCATCAGGAAAATCTTTAGGAATCGATTTAACTGGACCAGAGAAGGTCTTGGCGCCCTTAGTTGGATCGGCATCAGAAAAATCTTTAGGAATCGATTTAACTGGACCAGACAAGGTCTTGGAATAACTTCAACTGGATCGGCATCAGAAAAATCTTTAGGAATCGATTTGACTGGACCAGAGAAGGCCTTTGACTGGATCGGCATCAGAAAAATCTTTAGGAATCGATTTAACTGGACCAGACAAGGTCTTGGAATAACTTCAACTGGATCAGCATCAGAAAAATCTTTAGGAATCGATTTAACTGGACCAGAGGAGGTCTTGGCGTAACTTCAACTGGATCGACATCAGAAAAATCTTTAGGAATCGATTTAACTGGACCAAACAAGGTCTTTGAATAACTTCAACTAGATCGACATCAGGAAAATCTTTAGGAATCGATTTAATTGGACCAGAGAAGGTCTTGGCGCCTTTGACTGGATCGACATCAGAAAAATCTTTAGGAAT